GGCGGGCTGGGGTTCGCGAAGTGCGGGAGCCGAGGGCGATGGGCTGCATCTGGGTCACGTTAGTGACCGCAGCGCACCTTGCCAGCGCAGCCTCCCCAGCGCCCCTCAGCACCCGGATCCGCTGGCAGTCGGTGCCGGAGTGGGCTGGGCGCAGGGCTGGCTGGGGGCTCTCCCCTGAGAGACCGGCAGGGAGACTGGTGACCGCAACTTTCAGGGCATGGGCCCTCTGGAAGGGTGGGGGCGGGGTGCCATTTGGCTGGATCTGACCTCAGTGACCTAGGTCTTAACATATAGGAAAGAAAAGGACACTGCTTTTCAGCAGAATCTGGCCGGAGGTGATGAGTCACTTTTTTTGTTTGTTTGTTTTTAATAAGAAGGCAACGGAGGCATCGAGGAAGTTCCAAAATAAACAAGCAAGCAACAAACAAACAACATCCCACAGCTGGCTCTTGCCTGCTAAGGAGGAGAAGGTAGTTCGTGGAAGTTATCGCGTTGTTAACACTTTTAGGGTTAATGGTCCTAGGCAAGGAGGAGCTGTTGTTTATTCTCACCGGAGTGGTGGTCCGACAATAATTCAGCAATATTTGAAACCATGCGTTCTTTAAACGGAGTGACTATGGATGACTACATTTAGAATAACCACCTGGGATTACACAGAACAGCCTGAATGGAGATGAGTACCTAGCATGGTTGGGGGGAGGGGGTGGTGATCAAGAGTCTTTGGTTACTGAGTCATCTGAATGCAAAATCATAGGGATTTCACCTCTAGAGTTTACCAAAATTGTCTGTAGAGCGATTTCTTTATTGCTGGTGCACGTTTCTTTTAATGCAAATGACCGTTTTAGTATCCTTGGTAAAATATCCATGCCTGTTTAATGTAAGACTACCGAAGTGGAGCGATCGTGGGGTAAACTTTTCTTACTGTTATTATTAGAGTCTAATTAGACTGGAGGCATCTCATGGGCAAGAATGGGGCTTTTGGTGGTTCCTACAGCACCTACAGGTGTATGATGCCTCAGACCGTGTGATGAGCACACAACACGTTTGTGAAAATAAGCCAACAGCTTCAGTGTGCCTGGTGAATGACTTTGTGAGAATACTGAACATTTTATAAGAAAAGCTGCTTGTCCAGGCGCTCCCAGATCGCAACACCTGTCATGAAATTAGCATCAAGGTGCCGTTAGACAGAAAAAGAACTTGACTGCAAGAAATAATGAAGGTGATGATCAAGGTGAACAAGTCTTTACTGTTCCTCATTGGGAAGGAACCCTGGTGGTGCAGTGGTTAAAGCACTCGGCCGCTAACCCAAAGGTCAGTTGGCGGTGGGAACCCACCAGCTGCTCTGTGGGAGCCCAATGTGGCAGTCAGCTTCCAAAAAAGATTACAGCCTTCGAGAGACCCAATGGGACTCCATCCTGTGGGGTCGCTCGGAGTTAGAATGGCCTCAACAGTGGTTTTGGGCTTCGTTGCATCATCATTGAAGTAGGAAGTAGTTTAAGTGATTGATGCCATGCAGGCGATGGCAACCATTTCGTAAAGGGCCAGATCATATGTTAGGCTTTGCCGGCTGTATGGTTTCTTTAGCAACTTCTGACCTCTGCTCCTGCAGTTGCTTTAAGGCAGTCATGCACATACCACTGAGTGGGTGTGGTTAGGTTTCACTTTATTTTAGGGATACGGGTTTGAATTTTATATCATTTCACTGTGATGAAATACTAGTCTTCTTTAATTTCTAAACACGCCCCCCACCCAATTATATTAAAATGCCTTGGTGGCACAGTGGGTTCAGAATGGGGTTACTACCAGGTCAGTAACTCAAACCTAGCAACCACTCTGGCTGTCTGATCCTGTAAAGATCGACAATCTCTGACATGCTCAGAAGCAGGTCTACTCTGTCCTGTAGGTTCACTATGAGTCAGAATCAGCTAGATGGCAATGGGCTTGCTATTTTAACATGTGAGTCAGGGCTTTGAACTGGTTTCTTCTTTGGGTTTGCTTCTCCTAAGAAGCACCTGGGGAGCTGTAAGAATCGTCTGGCTGTCTTGTTATAATACAGATTCTGAAATCTGTATATCTTGGGTAGAAAAGCACATTCTCAGCAAGGGTTGAACTTGAATGAACTGGTTTGAAGCCCTGGTGTGAAAATTTCTCTTAATCAATTAGCCTTAATCAATTAGCACCTACCTTGTGGTAGGAGACCCTGAGTGGAACCAACAGTTAAACACTCAGCTACTACACAAAAGGTTCAAACCCACTGTACAGTGCCTCAGAAGGATAGCCTTCTAAACAAACAGTTCTACTGTGGAGCACATGGAATCCCCACAAGTCAGAATCAGCTCAATGGCATTACAAACAAGACGAACCATGCACTAAGACTAAGAGAGGAACCCCTGATGGTGTAGTGGTTAAGCTTTGGGATGCTAACGAAAAGGTCAACAGTTCGAAAACATCAGCCACTCCAAGGGAGGACAAGGTTTTCTACTCCTGAGAAGAGTTACAGCCTCAGCAGCCCACAGGGTTAGTTCTACCCTGCCCTATAGGATCACTATGAGTAGGAATTGACTCAATGGCAGTGAGTGAGAAGGCCAAGATAGGAGCCTTTTAAAAGGATTAATCCTGATTCTCTAGGGACCTACATTATACCCAGCAGTTAACTACAGTACCTTCAAGAGTGGCATTAACTTAGTTGAGGCAATAGGGTGTTTTGTGTTGAATATTTTCTTGTAGACGGTTTTATGCTAGGGATTAAAAAAACAACTCATCAATGATGTGCTGCTTTATAAATGAAAAAAAGCATTTGTTAAGTCTGTGTAAATTATAAACAAACATTATATTCAAGGGAACACCTGGGACTTCATCACCAGGGCTGGAAACCGGGGCTGGATGAGGAGATTGTTCCTAGACTGTTGCCTCTCTCTTTGTGTTCTTCCAGTATGCCATTCCACGAGCACCTCCCAACCCTGGATTTTGCACTAATTATTCATTGGTTTTGTTGTAAAAGAGCCCTATGAGGGATGTATGTATTCCTAAATAACATATTGTTTATGTGTGCTTGTTTGTTTTACTTTTGAAAAAGAGTTACCGTATCTTTTTTTTTCTTAATTCAACAATAATTTTTAAAGGCTCATTCATACTAGTGTGTGTAGAAACATAGTGATTCTTAATAAAACAGCCCCACATTGTTTTTTCCCACTCATGGGGGGTTGGGTTGATTCCTGTGTGCTGCTGTTGGAAAGACTGCTGCTTCCAAGACTTTTGTCCCTGTCTATGGATGCATCTGTGCAAGAGTTCCTCTAGGTGTGGAATTGCTTGACCATAGCTTCCCAAACTTATGGGGCCTACCACCCACATAAAAAAAAATTACTCAGCTCCCCTGGCAATTAAAGCCCATAATCCAGGATAAAGTATAGGTATCTGCCTGTGCAGCCGCCCTAGATCTCCCCGTACACCAAGGGGGCAGTATCACCTACTTTGGGAAACACTGAAATATGTGAATTTTGATACTATGTATTTTCATAGCCAAAAATGAAGAAGAGAAAGGGAAGAAAGCTACTTCTTCTCCTTATTTACACTTTAATGATGCAATCATTTCACGGATTCATTCCTCTAAATCGAGATGAAGTTCTTAGATCGGAAAATCTGATTCCCCACTTTATTTAAATTCTCATTGTAATACCCATTTTGTCATGTCTTCAGAAGTGTGGAAAAACTCCAATCTAAATTCCATAGCAGGATTACTTAACCCCTCAGGAACCCCTTCATCCCCCCGCCATCACTTGGGTTCAGGAGTTGATGGAGGAGAACTTTAACCATTAAGTCAAAGGAACATTACTTTAGGCAAGATATAGAAATGGTCATGAAACTGTACTATAAGGTACCCTCGTGTACCCATGTTTAAGCACTCAGCTACCAACCTACACAGCAGCTCCACAGAAAGACCTAGGGATTTACTTCTTTAAGGTTAATGACCGAAAAACCTCTATGGGGGATCTTCTCTGTCATGTGGGGCTGCTACCAATGACAATGGCACCTACCAATGATGAATTACAACTGTGCACCCAGGATTTCTATTGTGATTTCATTTGGTTATCCCAAGTGAGCTGATAGGAAATCTACTCTTTGAGCTTTGGACAGGTTTTAGGCTTATCAGGCTGTGAGCTTGGCAGTTTGTTTCTTTCTGTAATTAGAGATACAAGTACTGTGAGGTCAACCTGGGCTATGATAAGGATTTTTTTGAAATGAATGTGTAAGTGTAGGTTCCTTTCAGCGTTTTTCTCTTTTGTAGAGCTTTTAAGTGGTCGGCTACCGAAAGGTTGGCAGTTTGAACACCTCAGCAGCTCTGAGAAAAAGATACACCCATCAACTTCCATGAAAATTTACAGCCTTAGGAGCAGTTCTATGCTGTCCTGTAGGGCCGCTATGAGTTAGAATCCATTAGCAGTGGGTTTTTCTGTTTAGGGAAAATAGGGTGGTTATGAGTCAGAATCAACTTGATGGAACTGAGGGTTTTTTTTGTTTGTTTGTTTCTCTCTTGAGTGGTTACTTTTCTAGAGGAATTATGTAACAGACTTACCTCCCCATTGTTCTACAGCCTGATAAGAGAAGTAGCAAAGGAAGGTGTGGAAACCTGGAAGAACTTTTGATTGTTCTGGATGGCATCCTTATCTCCTCTGTCTAGTCAATTCTCCAAACCCAAACCTCCTAGGGACTCAGTAGGGTGGAGTAGAACTGCTCCCTAGGGTTCCTCAGACCGTAGATCTTTATAGGACAAATCCTGTAGAACTTCCGAGGGTAAATTATAATAGTGATGCTTGCCCA